GTAGAAAACAAAGATAATTACTTTTGAAAATATCTTCAAGTGGGACGATAAAAAGACAAAAATCTATTTGCATCAAATTTGCTCTTCATGTCTGTTTATTAAAATTCACTAGCTATAGAAAGCTAACCTTATAGGTCTTGGAGAATATATGTTACAAATATGAATGCTGTTGGAAAATTGTTGGTTTTGGAAAGCTTTTAAAATTGGGTAACATTTGTGACAAATTAAAGGATTATGGTTGCAATTTTCTCTGAAAGCTTGATTTTGTATAAAACATCTGAAATTTGCCTGTCTTAAAAGAAAATGATACATGGCCCTGGCTGGCGTGGCTCAGTGGACGGAGTGCCAGCCTGTGAAGCAAGGGGTTGCTGGTTTGATTCCCAGTTAGGGCACATGCCTGGGTTGTGGGCCAGGTCCCCAGTAGGGGGCACACGAGGGGCTACCACACACTGATGTTTCTCCTTGTCTCTCCCTCCCTTCCCCTTTGGAAATAAAAATAAAATCTGTTAAAAAATAAAGTACAATTTAAAAGAAAATGATATATGATAAAGACAAAAAAACTTTCAGAGCTATACACCAAGAAAATTCAGCTTCTTTCTATGATGAACATCTCTTTTATTCGATGTTCAGATAAACATAGAGAATTCAGGAACTAAACATATTCTCTCTGGATTCTATTATATGTATATTTTTATATTGTAAATTATACCATCTCTCCTTATACATTGTGCAGATTTTGTCACTGAATGGGAAAAAAATTTTGGAGGAATATTTAAGCCAACACTAAATTAAAATTGTAAGGCACATTTGGGACAAATCTGAAAAATGAAGAACCTCAAATCTATATTGATATTATTTTGAAGTATTGTGTTCATTTTATATTGTAAGAATCATCCTAATAATTACCTAAGTTTTAAATGGTTTTTAATCGTGACTACTTTTTAAAATAACTTTACATTCATTATATCTACAAAAGGTTATTTACCTTAATACATATATTATGGTCTATTTTTCTACTGTAATTCCCCTGCATATATCAACTTTGAAAACATAAGATATGTTTTGGACTATTTTGAATGGACTGTGCAACTCAAAATGCATCTGGAGGAAGGGATGCCCTTTCCATTTCACACCGGAACTTAGTGCTTAGTTAGTGGAATCCCTAAATGGACAACATATTTGTTGCATAACTATCTCAAACACCAAAGATTTAGGATATGACTCAAGAATCCCTAATATTCTTTAAAAATGATCTTTTAGAGATTGATCATTCAAACATATTTATACTTTCCCACCTATAAGCACCTGATAAGTGCTTAATTTTATTTGTACCCAAAAGGGCTTTTGAAACTAACTTTATAGTTTCATATCTTTTAGGAAGAAGGATGATGATTATCTAAAAGACATTCTCTGAAACTGAACTCAAGACTATTATACAGATGTCCCTACGAAAAAGGCATCCCAGAATGAAATACTTTTGGTATATATTGGAATAAAGATAAACCTTAGAAACAATAATGTGTACTGTGAACCACTAACAGGGAAGTGCAGTAAGCAGTGTTTGGGAAACATTACATTCGTTATACAGAAGGCTGTGCACTTCTCATTTCAGATGTGCTTATCTCAACATTTTCTTGGTTCATAATATGCTTGGACAGAGGATATCAAAACTACATGATATTTTAAGCAACTAAATAGTGCGGCTTTATATATATAATACAGATAAGATCATCTCATATGGTTCCTTCTGTAGTCCTTTATGAGAACTCAGGATACCTGGTTGACTTGTAGGGTATTGAATACTGTTTTGGTGAGTTCTGTAATATCCTCTAAATCTTTTTCCTGATGTCCACAGTAAAATTCACCCAAGGCAACGTACAATAAAACATTGCTTACATCATAGGATGATTAGAGCAAAGACACACAGGGAACCAGAATATAAAAATATGTTTTTTAAGATTTTATTTACTTATTTTTAGAGAGAAGGTAAGGGAGAGGGAAAGAGAGGGAGACAAACATCAATGTGTGGCTGCCTCTCGTGTGTCTCCCACCGGGGGTCTGGACTATAACCCAGGTATGTGCCCTGACTGGGAATTGAACTGGCAGCTCTTCGGTTCACAGGCCGGTGCTCAATCCCCTGAGCCACATCAGCCAGGACTATGTTTTAAACTCTTAAATAGATTATAATCTCATATTATATGGCCTACATATTTAACATCAATGTATATGCAGCCTATATATCATACATTCATGTGGTCTTGGAAAATAAAGTCCTTACATATTATAGGAACTCAAATGTTTCCTACCACTTATTATGACATATAAATATATTCTATCATAATTGATCCGACTTGTTCATCTTTTAACCATGAATTTGAAAAAAAAGGAATCTTAAAACCTATGTAGACTGTTGAAAAGCAGTAGTGTATTGAGAACCATCATTCATCACAGCATTAGCTACAAGAACAGGAAATACTGAAGGCTGAATAGCCTGCAGCCCTGTTCCTTTCCATGAGTCACAGCACTTTCACAGTGATGTCACTTTGTTCTGGTTTTTATTTTTTTCCTTTCATGCCAAACCCTCCTCTCAGGTTTTTAGCCATAGGGTGGATGATGGATGCAAAATCACTCTGTGTGTGTACACACGTAAGGCTATTTAAGGAGAAGAACGTATGTGAACAGAGAACTCATTTCTGCATCAGGAGAAAGATCTGCCTCTTGCCACATCTCATTCCTCTCTATTCCTCCTAAGTATTCTAAGAAATGAAATATCTGCCGAATGTGGAAGATCACTGACCTAAAATAACAAGAAAGTTACTAATATAACAACAATAATATCTTTAGCCATTAGCTTTAGTGCCTAACATATAATCCACGTATATGAAATAAGAATTATTTTTAGTTCATATATGTTCTAAACTACAGAGAAGAAGGGAAGCTAAAAACACTGGAATGCCCTAAGAAAATGAATTTTTAATTAAGAAACTTATTTTTACCATTTTTAGGTATACCCCTCTCTGTACCACCTTCACTAAATAAGAAAAGTCATATGAATCAAGGAGGCAAAGAATCCTCTATCTTTTGCTTCTTGTCATGGTACAATTATAACTAGTGTTGGTTTGTTAAATGGCACTTTGCCCAGTGACATTGGCTCCAAGCACTAACACTGTTTCTTCTGATCCCTTCCTAGAAAATCAGAGTTAATGTTTGCTGAGCTGCCTAATGTTTCTCTCTTCTTTGACTTTTTTCCTCAAAAATCACATAGCCAAACTTTTCCCCAAAGTAAAAATCTGAATAATCCTCTTCTCTTGAAATTGTAAGAGAAAGATAATGGACCTGAAAATTATTCTTGTAATTGGTTAGTAATATGACTTCAATACACTAGTAATACTCTATAGCATAGGAGTTAATTTAAGGTACTTGGCTCTACTGTGAACAAAAAGAAAAATTACTTCAAGAAGTATTGTTTTACAATTATTTTAGTAACTTTTTCATAGTAATTAAAAGTGAAGAAGTCCTGTTTAAGCCCCATTTATTGATATTCTTGTTAAATTAAATAGGTTTTGAAATATACTAACTTGTAAGCATTTCAAGAAAAAGGAATCTATTAGAATAATTTTCACCCTTGATCCTAAGCAACTCAAAAAGGCTATGTTCTTTTGCTTTTCTAATTTTCTTAAAATCTAGAGAATTTAATATTCTATTAGGCCAGATACTTAGAATTTTGAAATAAAGATAAAATAAATTCTATCAATATTTTTATCATGTGGAATATTAGAGTATGACATTGTTCATTAACAATAAGATAATTACTCTCAATTTTCTTCAACAGATGAGCTAGGTGCAGGGAAACCCAGGAAGAAGGAATGCTTTAGAATACATTTTACTGCACATCATGAAAATGTGTGATAACATTAGACTTACAGAGTATTAGGAATGCAACTGCTCTTATTTTGAACATTTATATTTCTTGGTCTTTTCCTCAAACCCAAAATTCTATCAATGAATCTTCTATTTCTATAAACTAGTTAAGAACAAATATAAAATATGGGTTGTTCACACTGAGTCTGCTTTACAGAATTAAGGTGGCACTTGGTCCTGTGGTCTTTTCCCTTTCAGCAGGTACTTGCCTTGTAAGAACACGAGAGCACCACTGGTGATTTAAACAACATGTACATTTCTTAGAGCTCACATAATGTAAACTTTCTTATCATATCCACTCATACCTACACTGAAAGCTGACCAACTACAAATTACAGCCCATGGAGAAAATGCAGCAGGTTTCTTGTTTTATTTTGTAAATAGAATTTTATTGGAGCACAGCCATGCTCACTTGTTTACATAGTGTTCACATACAGAGACAATGCTGAATAGATGTGACAGTGTTCTGCATAGCTTGAAATATTTACTCTCTCTTTACAGAAGATAGATATTTATCTATCTCTTTTTTTTTAAAGATTTTATTTACTTATTTTTAGAGAGGGAAGGGAGGGAGAGAGAGAGAGAGAGAGAGAGAAACATCAATGTGCGGTTGCTGGGGTTTATGGCCTGCAACCCAGGCATGTACCCTGGCTGGGAATCGAACCTGGGACACTTTGGTTCCCAGCCCGCGCTCAATCCACTGAGCTACGCCAGCCAGGCGATATTTATCTATCTCTTTACTGAAAAAGCTTTCTGACACTGGACTAAAGGATGCTCCCTGGATTTAATCATATCAGAAGGAAATTCCTGCCCATGTGACTGAGCGACCTCTAAGGTTATGACTACAGTTACCAGCCATATGTTACAGTAGACAGCGCCACACTGTCTATTGGGGATACTACACAATAGTTAATAAATGTTCAACTCACTCCCCTCCCAGTTATTTTAATTAAATGTTAGTGTTTCTGTTTTCTGTTACTTGACCTAGACAGTATTTTTGCAAGAATATTTGGCAAGGTGGCTCCACCTGTATATCGTGGACAAAGACTGAGTTGATAGGAACAGTATTGCCAACTCACCTGATTCTACCCCTGGGGCGCTCAGATTGCTCTGACATAAAGCTTGTGCTGCTGAGGCGTGAGGCACTGCTGGTTCTGGAAATGGCGGACACATCACTGACATCACTATCTGATGATTTGGCAGAGACGTTATCACAGCTTCTGTACTGATCTTTATGTATGCTATACTAAAGATTAAAAACAAGAAAGCATGAGCTCCATCTTCAGATTGTGGAAAAATGAGACATACATGGTGAGGATAATGACTACTTAGCCAACACCAAATACAAATGTACCTTCATAAAAGCAGGTGTGGAATATAAAACAATCCAAATGTTAACATAATACATGATTCCAATGTAAAACTCTTACATCCTTTGAGTGGTAAGGAATGGTTTTTGGAGATTGAATTATAAACACAAAAGTTAAATGCCTGGGTGGAGAATTCATTGAATTATTTGCATGTACTTAAAACCTCAAAATTGCATTATTTTTTCTAGTACACCAGTTTCTCTTTTCTTGCTTTTGTTTTCATTATTGCTTATTCACCTTCTACTCCATCCATGGTATGGATTGCTTCCATCTGTCTGTTCTTCTTGATTCTTTCTAAAACTATTCAATTTACCTACATCCCTTCCTGCTCTATAACACTGCCCTGTATCAAATTTCTTCAAAAATATCTCTTTACAAAAAATGGTTGATACTAAAACTGAGCGGCTGTGCCAAAGAGTAAAGCAATGGCAGCAAAGAGTGGACTTTGGCTCGAAACTATATATTATGGTTTAATTAGACATTTTCATGTTTATACTATCAACTCAGTGTTAAAAATAAAAAAATGGCATTCCTATTAAAATTTCAACATACACTATAGCTTATATTTAAATGTGTTCAAATTTGTCTTTGATATTCGTTACCTAAGGTTTTAGAATCAGGGGAAAGATTAAAGCATGCAAAGCTGTTAAAGAAGTTAATCTGTTCTCCTTTCTATCTCACTGTCTTATTGTAACTGATCACACAGTGAAAGCTTTATATATTATTATATGTTTTATTTATAAAATAATAAATTTAGGTAATTACATAAAATTTTATAATACCTAATGTATAAGTCCTTTTATCTTAGGTCCTAGAAGGTAAGATAACTTCTTATGTAAGAGAAAAGAACACATAGGTAAAATAAACACATGATTAAACATTGAGTATTTAAGTTTCTTATCAAGAGACTGAATTTTAGATTTATGTGTTAAGGTATGAAAATAGGAAATGTCTGTTAAGCCTGTAGAAAAATTCACCCACCCTTTGATGCTCTATATTAGATGAGTTTTAATAAATCTAAAATAATCCAAACACTCTACTTCTAAAAATTTGTATAAGCAATTTGCCCCTCTAAAGAACATGAAATAAACTGATGCTAAAACTTGGACCTATATACACAAAAAGAAGTATAACACAATATTTAAAGAAAACTCTAGAGAAGGGAATCATGTTTATTTAACATGACTTAACATCAGTTGACAGTAGTTCAGGCCTAAGGTATTTAAATGCTAGTTTCAATTCTTCATCTCTCATGTATATGTAGAGGACATGAAAACAATTCCAAATTTACAGAATATCTATAAAATTATCTTTCCTAATATTTTTTTGTAATTGTGTGATATTTTGATAGCCATATGCATACTCCAAAAGGAAATTCATATATGTTTTGTCCAGAACTGAGCCATTTCTACAACTTTGGGCATGATTTGAAAGTAACATGATTTAAGATATTGTATTTGAAGTAATGGGATAATGTTTATCACCAAATTCTGTCCTATCTGATAGCATGATCCTGACTGACGTGATTTATTTCAGTCAGAACCGTTTTTTAAATTTACAGAGTAGATGTGGTAAAGCCTTAACATGCTTATACAGTAGAACCTGACTTTAATACTGCTACTGGAGTATAAATATAACTCATATTATTTGTTTTAGAAACTATAGTGTTGCCAAGTAAATATGTCATGCAATTATTATAGTGCTTCCAATCATATTGAAATAATAGCTTGTTCACGGTAGAATCCAAGAACTGGGTTCTAACACCACACAAGTTTACCCTGCAGCAGCAGACTTTCTGGCACCGCAGTGACACCCCAAACACACGTTCCCCTTACCTGACAAATGTCAGTGTCAGTAGTGGAGACTATATAGCACAGGATAAAGGAGTGCACGTAGAACTACTTATCCAGCTAAAGAGCTTTTCCTTTTCTGTAAGCCATCTCTTCCTTTACCTTGTGTATATAACTTTTGATATTCCAGCAAAGAGATAAAATGAGAGATTTTTAAAAGACTGTAGGTTATGCTAAATTTTTCTATATTGGGGTAAAGAATGATCTATTATTCTGACATCACATTACAGTTTACCTCGATTAGTTGAAGAAATGATATACTTTAATATTCACTTCATACTGCTATATTTAGCAGTAAAATCTATTAAAAGTTTAAATAATCGGCATTTTATCAGGCACAATTTCTTAAATTTCCTATTTAAAATTAAATACTTGAATGGAAATACATTAATTATATTTTGAGAAACACAATATCCTCAGGAGGAGTGTGTACTGATCACGCAGCAGAGAAGTCAGTCCTTGGTGTGGGGAAGTTCTAATTGTAGTGCTGCTATTTTTATACATAATAATAAATATCTAGCAGCTACCTACAATGCACATTACATCAGTCTTAGGTGCTGTTCCTGGTTTACAGAAAATAAACACTTTTTAAAATGTGAGTTCCTAAATGCAAATTCACCCTCCAGTTATGAATTTAACCCCATCATTAAGGCATGCAACTCTGTGTAACATCAATGAGGAAAACAGCGCGGTGTCACATTTCTGCAATACCAGGGTAGTTTTGTGTCTTTTTCAAAAGCAAAGTTAGTGCTCATTCCTTACTCAGGATGAATGTTAGGGGCAGTCAGTCTTTTAAAGGTGGTGCCAGGTTTGAAACATCTTAGCAACATTTGTCTGGTACTTCTTTGCCCTGAAGAAAGTTAAGGTCTACTGGTGTTATAAATATTTTGAGAATGATGAGATAATTTCTAAGTTGGCAGAATTTTAACTAAAGTGTACTGCTTTACCCAAAATGTCAAATAGTTTAAGGTGCTAAAAAAGAATAAAGGAATAAGGTTTAAAATTAAATGTATATTAAATTTACAACAATGCTAGTTCTTGTTTATGTGAATAAATATGTATTTTTGTAAATAATAAAAAAGCAGGGGTTAGGGGGTAAAAAATGAAGATGATTTCTCAAGTATATGAGAGAGACTTGAGGTAACTGGAAGCTAGAAATTTTATTGTAAGCATTAGGCCAAAATATATTAGAATTATGAAGGGTATCCTTTACTTGACATATAAAATAAACAGCTAATCACTTGTTATTTTATCTTACATATTTTTACTATCCTATGTTCTTATAAGTTTAAAGATATAGCTTTGATCTCACATTTACTGATAAAATGTACTCATTTTATTTATGTAATAACATCAATTTATGCAGTCAGTAAGAACACCAGTAACATATTTAAAAGTAACATTTAAAAAATATTCAGATAAGAGGAACAGAAAAAGATGCCTGTGTAAAAAAGGGAGAAAAATGAGAATGTGATAATTAAACTGTATGCAAACTAAAAGCTGTAGGGAGCCTCTGAAGGAGCCATGCTAGGGCACAGCACACATTTCAATGGTGGGAAAGCAAAACAAAGAGGCACCTAAGTTCCCATCAGGAGTTCCGGGCTTATCACCGTCCAGAAAGCCTTTACCACTTTTGGTAAAGGCCCACTTTCTCCTGGTCCTCAGTTTCATACATTTGGTAAACAAAAGAGCTGGAATAGAAAATTACCCTAAAGTAATTTTAAGTTCTAAATTACTATGAGCCAGAGAACTTGGAATCTTCCAAGCCAGATAAGCTTCCTTTTGATTTATTATGAATATAAGGATCAGTGATCATTTGGCATCCAGAGTACTTCATTTTGTAGATTTTTTTGATCAACTGATTAATGATTTGAGTCTTAGTTCATAATACTGCAGAAAGGCTTTGGTGTTTTGCCCTGATTCTTTATTTATGCCTCACTTCCTATATATTAACTCCCTATTTGACCTCATCCTTTGACATAATTCTAAGAAGCCGGTAACGCATTTCCTGGTTTAATGAAGATTCTCCAGTTTAAAGAACATTTCTGAATAACTGCATCCAATTGTGGAGAAAGAAATCATAAATTACCCTGCCTTCTAACTCTTAGTTCATTTGTAGTACAAGAAAACAAAAATGATAATGATACCCATAAAGAAGACAGGCAAGCTGATTAAGTGGTGATACCACACAGAAAAAAAACACAAAGAATATACATGGAGCTGGAATCAGCAATTCTATAAAACATTAAGATACTTTACTAGTAGTTTTTTTTTTGCCTTTACTACTTTCACTTTGTAAAATGTTGTTTCAGAGTCCTAGGGAACTGAGTCAGTGGTCACAGCGACCACAAGCATTGTCTCTGTTGGAAATCCTTCGGCAGTTAACCTAAAACATAAAGCGACAAAATGCAACTAACACACAAGACTCTATGGCAGCCCAGTGATAAATCATATTTGGCAACCACCTCTACCTTTTGTATAAGTTTCTGAATATCTGGCTCTATAGTGGCCAATCTCCATAATTTAAATATAAGTAGGTTTTTTCACCCTTCCTCCCACCCCCTTTCTCCCTGGTAACCATGGTTTATTCTCTGTATTTGTAAACCTGTTTGTTTTGTTTGATCATTTTTTGTTTTTGCATATAAGTGAAATCATATTGTATTTGCCCTTCTATGTCTGAGTTATTTCAGTTATCATAATACCCTCTAAGTCCACCCATGTCCACCCATGTTGTCACAAATGGCAAGATTCCATCCTTTTATATGACTGAGTAATACTTCATTACACATCGGTCCTACATAGTTTATCTGTATGTCCATCTATCAGTGGACACCTGAGGTTCTTCCATATATTGGCTATTGTAAATAACACTGTGATGATAAGATGAGTACATATTTGGGGGGAATATAGTCAATAATATCCTAATAACTTTGTACAATGTCAGATGGTTTCTAGACATTGCAGTGATGACTTTGTGAGATATTTAAATATTAAATAACTATGTTGCACACCTTATAATATTGTATGCTAACTACATTTTAATAAATATAAATAGATTTCTCTAGGTTCATATTTCAAGCTAACAATATTGATTTAGTACAGTTTTATTTTGAATTTCTAAAAGGTCATTACTTCCAAAAGGTCTTCTTGATACCAAATTATAACACAGGTTTTCCTGTAATGGCTTATGCCACTTTTGTAGTACTCTAAAAAAGTTTTTTAAGTAAGCCACATAATATATATGTTATTTCATGAAGTATAAAGTTCTATGCATATATTAATTAAAATTATTAGATCATGATTAGCACATTGTAAATTCCTTACTGTAGTCTTACAAAATAATATTGAAGTATAAGTTAAATGTTTATTGGCACGTGTAATTGCATGGATTTCAGTTTCTAAGAGTTTGAAATCAGCATCTTATCTTACTAAAGACAGAGCAATAAGATATCCCACATCACATGATTTTAGTCATTCAGTAACAAATTTCAATAGTAAATTTCCACCAAAAATGGCACTTAATACTAAAAATCTGTAACTTAATATTTAAATGTAATATTAAATGGTATTCAAGTGATAAAATGGCTTTATCTATCTTGCTTACTTATCTGAATTTGATTATGGATAACTGATCATTAAGTAACTTTGTTTTTTTTAACATTTTAATTGAATTTATTGGGGTGACATTGACTAATAAAATTATATAGGTTTAAGGTGTGCAGTTCTTTAACATAACATCTGTATATTGTGTTGCATTTCACAACCCCAAGTCAAGGCTCCTGTCACCATTTATCCACCCTTCACCCTCTTGTACCTGCCTCCACCCACCCTTTTCCTCTGGCAATCACCATACTGTTGTCTGTGACTTTAATATCAAGTATTTATAATTCCTTTTTAGAAAAAAACATTACATCCAAATTAGTAAAGTTGTATCTTGTGAAAATAGCAAGAAGAGAAAGGTCATGTTGCAAGACTAGCATTTGCATAGTTTCTCTTATATATCTCACTGCTTGCTAGTCCTACCTGGTACACACACTGCACATTTATAAAAAAGAGGCTATTGGTTGGGTATTAACTAGTTTTACCTTGGAATATTGCTCGCGATCAAGTTCTTGACTAGAACCAGACCCTGTTGTCTGCTTAAATCGATGCACTTTCATTTTCATCTGTCTCGTTCGCTCCTCCACTACTAAGCTTGCTGCAAAAACACACAATGGAAGCCTATTAACACATTAGAAGCGCCTTTTAGAAAGTGAATGGTTTAAGATTTTAATGCTTTTGACATGACTTTAATTAAATGGAGTTTAGAGATAACACATGATTAGTACATTAAACAAAATGCAGAATATACAATGCTAGCAATGCTAATGTAAAAAAGAACATGACTGAACTCACACAGAATGGGGAACAAAAAATATTAGTAACAAAATACTCTACTTCTTCATCTGATATGAAATATTTTAAGTTCCATTCATAAATGACCACATGAAACAAAATTTAATTGTGAAAATATGTTTTATGTTTAGTCCACTGGTTGTGGCATGTGCATATGTAGAGAAAACAAATATGCACACTGAACACTCCACACACACACCCACGTGCTTGCATGCATGCACACGCCCGTTGCACCTCCTCAGCTAGGAGTCACCTAGAAACTGTTTTGACTGAGAAGAATCTGCTTCTAGGAGTTATTCTTATTAAGTTATTAATTTCTATTGGTAGCTTTTCTTAAACATTTGCCAGTCTTAAAATTGAACTAAGAGTAAAGATTAGTTTTCTGTTTCTGATGGTTATGTCTGACCATGTATACAAAATTAGTAAGTTTAAAAAACATGATATAAAAATTTTTGGCTCTGTAATTTATAATATGTGAAGAACTATATTTCATTTAAGCCTTTGTTAATCTCTTAAGTAACAGGTGAAACTGTTTAGATAGGAATAATTACAGCCTTTAATAAAATTGTTATTTTAAGTCAGAATCCACCATAAGTGGCTCGGTTTCAAGACCCCGCCTGCAATGTTCACGCTGTCACAGACGAAGAGGAAGAAAGAGCTCAGGAAGCAGAGGAATGCAGAGTCGGACCCAGACACGCACTTGTGTTGGGTGATGCCTATGTTGACATTCTGATAGCTTATTTTTTGCCAGTTTCCTGGACTATTCAACCTCTTCAAGTGCTAAGATTTGCTTCTAAATAGTGTATATACACATATACATGAAAAAATTCTGTTGTGATGAATGTACTGGGCTGTCCACAAAAAGGCCCTAATAATTTAAAGGATAATGGGAAGCTGATATATCCGATTGACTTGACTGTTGACTCCATCTCTTGCAAGAAGTTTATAAAAACTACTTGACAGATTTTTTCATTGCAATGACCAAACATGGCCCATCATCCTTGATAAAGGACACTGACACCCATTTTAAAAATTAAGTAAAAATTTAAAACATTAGGTAGCTTTTGTTGTGTGTTCAAGTACAGACTAAATGTTCAAATCATACTTTTACCACCAAATATTAGAAGTTAAGCTTTGCTTAAATTCAATAAATTAGACAGATAACTATCAATCCCTAACATCAGTTATGTGAATTAAGCAATGACACATGCTTGCTTTGAAAATGGTGACTTCACAGACAGTAAATATTAACTATTAATGATTAAAAGATGGGTCAATGAAATCTTGAGAAAAGCAGTACAGAAATTTGTTAATTACTATATAACATATAAGGAGCCAAAATGAATATTATAATGCAAAATGTTAATTGGGAGTAATAAGAAATTGAGACAAAGTTATTGAAAAATGTCTTATATTTATAGAAAGCTATATGCAATATATTTTACAATATATACAAATATCTGTTCCATGCCTTCTGCCTATGGTGTGGGTACTTCAGGGGCACTTGCTTAGTCTTTGAGCTTTGAAGAAGCCAAACAAACTGTGATAATCAGTTGTATTTTATAATTAAAGCTAAAGCAAATCAAAGCAATCTCTACTTGGTATAAAAACAGATTTAAATGATATTAGCTCAATTTTCTCATCAAATGATATTAATTTTATTTGAAGAGCTTCTAGACATCGATCCACCCAGAACTTTGTAACCTCCACGTTAAGCACCAGGTAATTTTTAGGGAGGGTGGTGACTTGACACTAAAGAGATTATTTCCCAGGAGCTTCTCACCTAACTCACCTGAAATCATTCTGGCGGTTCTGGCCAGAGGGCTTTGCTGGGATAATACCGGTCCCTCTAAATAGGATTATTTAGCTTAGGACACAGCTGCACTAAGTCTTTACAAAACACAAAACTAAATCATGAGAAGGGAGCGGTAGCCTAGCTAAAGTTATTTTTGTCTTCAAACCACACACAAGAATAACTCTGATTGGAATTTGCAGGTGACAAAAGTAAATACAATTTTAAAAGTCTGATTTATTACAGTTGTCTAATGGAAAGCATTAGATATTATTAAAAACAAAGACAGATTAAAATAATTCTTTTTTTCATGCCACATGCTTTGCTATATAAATTCCTAATCTATTGATGTGGTTGAACATTGATGAATCTACAAACCCAGCAAAAATCATTTACAAATGTTGTTTATGCCTATAAGGATTTGTCTTTTATCTACTCCTTAATAAGATTATTAAAGAATCCTGTGACTTAAAAAAAAAGCTTAAATGTCTTCAATAAATCTTCTTTAACCCATCACAGAAAAATTTCTATAGAATCACCTCCTCCAAGGAGAATGTAATTTTCTGGGAAAGAAACTCTTTTGACTTACCAGTCATTTGTAATTTGCTTTAAAATATTATGAATGTTATAGGTATAGATGCTTTCTGATCACTATAAACTTAAACCTTTCATAAATATATTTAAAATACTAATTATGAATCTGCAATTATATAAAGATGAAGTTGGTCTGATCTTCAAATTTCTTAAGTATTTCACAATTCTTCCTCTGCATCTAAGTTAACATAAAATTGAAATTTCAAATGTTTGTATTTATTGGCAAAAAAAAATCCACACATTACATTGTTAAACTTTTCTATTTTCAAGTATTTTAGGTGAAATATGATTGTAAAAGAAAACATAAAAATTTCTATATGATTAAATATATTAAGGTAAAAAGATTCAACAGTATTTTATAACAAGGTTAGCTAGTACAGGTGACAAATGTAATACATGATAAAATCTGGACAGAATAATTAAGCTTGTCTAGTTAATTACAATATGCTGTCATATAGTATGAATAGAAAAATTAATGCCTCTGCTTCCTTGCTGCATAGTAATATGACGAGAGCTCGGCGATAGTGGAGCCCCATCTTTCCTCAGTGCATGACTAGAAACAGCAGTGATAAATAACCGCTTATCTGGAAATTGTCAGGTACAATGGAATATATGAATGAAATACCTAAAATGCCTTAGTTATTGGCAGCATTGAAAAAAATCCCCTCTCTGAAGCACTTTATTTTAAAAAATCACTTATAGGGGAACTCAAATATAAGAAACAATATGAAACATTGAGATTAAAGAGTAATAAAAGATGAAAAAAATTAGCTTACTGAATCTTTAATCAGTATAAAAATTATAAATCCTGGATAGAAAAATAATTTGATACTTGAAAATTCAAAATGTAATACTAATCTGTACTCACAGTTTTTAGACTTCAGAGGAATATAAATTAAGATGAACAAACATTCTCCATACAAGGGGGACCTCCCAAAAACCAGGATTTATTTATAAAAAATTGTGCATTTATTCTTACATATTTAAATTTCAGTCACCTTCAAAGTACTCTCCATTCGATGTAATACAGCTACCAAGACATTTTCCACTGCTCAAAACAGTTTTTGAATCCATCAACTTTAAATGCCTTTTAGTGATTCTGCCATTTTATCCTTTGACCTCTTCCACATCAGCAAAATGTTTCCTTTTGAGGACTTTTTTCATCCAGGGAAATAAAAAAAAGGTTGCTCAGGATGAGATCAGGTGAATAGGGAGGGTGGGGCCCAGGGTCACGCCATTTTTGGTCAAAAACTGCTGAAGACTCAGCATGGTATGGACAGATGCACTCATAAATTACCCATTATAAAATGGGCAAACACACTGTCTTCCAAAAAAAATTAACTGAAGCTGAACACAACCTCTCCCAACAATGCCCACTGGTACAATAATACAGATGAGTTCCGAGAACACTCACCTAGGGGAGAAGTCTGTACTACGTGGGACCTACCCTTCAGAAGATAGTTCCAGTTTTGGGGGTTACCCCCCTCATATACCTGGAAGCAATGTGGAAAAATGGTAACAACCCAAGACTGGGAATAACTGAGTATAGATTCAGCACTAGACCCACTCCCATTCATCAATGCTGCACTGATCAATTCTTGGTGTGTCTCTCCACTATGGAGTTTTCTGTGTAAAGTGAAGAGATTACTTAGAGTAATCTCCTGTTGCTTTAGTCTATGATTCAAACATCAGTTCAGTAGGGTACTGGTGTTGGTGAAGTATTTTTTTATTTTTCACATTTTCAAGACTTTCTCTTTGTTCTGTTACCTAATTTCCAGCATTTTAAAATTTGCCAATGAATCAAGACTACATATATTGAAAAAAAAATTGGCCAGTTGTATTTTACATTATTTTTATTGTTTATTTTCCAATAAAAAATATATTTATTGCATGTTTATACTTTTTAGTCACAGAAGTATAGTAAGCAACTTTGATTTAATATTTATATACCCTCTACCTCACCAACCACGTATACAGTATATGTACACGGACATTAAATGTATAAATATTTTGACTATAACAGAAATGCCCTAGTTCTGGGTCATTATCCTAGAATAAAATGCATTTGAATTTGCAAGTGTCAAAATATGCCAAATTGTTTCTCTTGTGCCCTTGTATATTTCTTTTGGATGTTAAGGATTATACTATAATGACATTAACAATAAAATAAAGCCAACATCTATCCAGCATGTGAAACATGAAACACAACAACAACGCACATTAGTTACAAACATCAAATTGTCTTTAAAGGCTGAAAAAAATAACCTGCATTCTGGTAAATAACTGACGTGGAATGCTAGCATGGGTTTAACAGGTAATTTATATGTACAATTACTCAAACCTCAGCACAGCCCAAACCACAGCATTGTCTCTTGTTCTAGCGTGTCGATAATCACTGAGCCATCTAAAACAACACT